TACGCAAATAATACCATGATAACTTATTTTAAATTTGAGTTAGGCCCTTGGGCCAAAAACTGGAGAACTAGTTCCATAGCTGGCTCACTGACCCTAATATAAGTTATGAAATCTCGATGAACATTTCAAATGGTCCTATCTGCTTTGATTGATTCTCTTCATCGACTTTCTCTTTTGAATACCACGCCTACGCAAATGCATTTGTTGCTATTTTTGCCACGCAGTTTGATAGCAAAAGTTTTTATCTTGTGCATAGAACGTTTAACACAGCAGGGAATGCTTTTGAAGTTGAGTTATTAATGAAATAGAAAGTCGATGAAGAGAATCGTTCAATGCAGATAGGACCTTTTGAAATGTTTATCTATAAATGCTCATTTTACAAATCCGCCTTTCTTGGCAAAAATGACAAACTTTTCTCATAACTTTTCCCATTAAATTCTGTGCAACAGCTGATTTCAATAGCTTGCTCCCTTTTATCCAAATTTACTTCATTTTCAGTGCAGGTTTGATCGTTCTAAGATAATTTCGAAACTTCAACATCATTATAGCCCAACATTTTGCAAAGCGTGGAGCTTCGATGATTTTAGTGGCTTCAAGTACATTGAAACACTATGGTTTGATGACTTTTATTTTTGTGATTTTGGCAACACTTCTTCAATGTATTTAATTTGCTGGTGCTCTGCAGTGTAAAATCTGAAACACCGTTAAATATTTTTCTTAGATTATCCAGATATGACTGAAATTTTGAACCAGATCAGATAATCAGGTATGCATTTATTAAAGTTTGTGGAGAGTCACGAGGTCTAAATAATATCATGTGTTGCCAAAATCGAACGGGTACTGTATTCCTGTCAAGTAAGCTGGTGGAGGTCAGCTTTAACAGACGTTCTTGCGTCCATCACTATTTAATCCAACTAGGTGTGCAGTTGTTTGTACAGCTTCAGGGCCGCAATTGAGTGTCAAAATTTTTGTATGAGTTATGAATTTACGCCTACTGAACGTTGTACACAATCAGACCATTCCGTTTCATAGTTTTTGAAATGAACCAAATTGACAAAAGTCAGCTGGTTCTGCCTTTCGTTTGACTGGCAGACAGTCATTGAACCTTTTGATCATACAAAATCCTACAGTGCAGTTAAAGATACGAAGCTTTCTAGAGATTCGTCTGTGAGGAAACAGATTTTTATTGTAAATGCAAAAAAACTGTTCCAGCATTTTTCTTGTTATAATGCCTAAATTAAAGGAATTTAAACGAAATTTGGCACTTGTAAACAATACACTTTAAACTAATTTCCCTTATTTATTTTTCATTATTTTAACATTGAATAAAGACATGAAGGTGTGTAGCGTTTTGAACGACAAACAGTTCAACGATAGAAGCTAGTATCTAGCCTCCAAAAGGATAAACACAGCAAGAAGCATTTTTGTAGTCAAGTTACTGACTTAAGAGAATTTCGATGAAGTGAATTAATCAATGCACATAGGACCTTCTGCAATATTCTGGTTCATTGAAGAAATTGCTTTTGTTGTTTTAATCATTTGGAGTTCTCTTTTTGAGGTTCATATTTTTTACTTAGTTTAGCCTTAGATCATACATTCATTATTTGAATTAGTTCGCCCCCGTAGTATAAGTACAATACAGGTAACTTGTACATATTTCAAGAAACTATCATCTAAAGTAATGACCCAATCCCATACGCTTTTTCAGTGGTGTACCAAAGTATATCTTAAGCATCCATCTCAAAGATGAATGAGAACATTCCAAGATTTGGAATAATGGTTTGGTCAAATTATTGAATTTAAAAGTCTTATGCACGGAGGGGCTGACAAAATCGGGTCATTACTGTGCATACAAAAATAGCATTTATATATATTATAGATACACAATAATATTTTTTTTTTTGATTCTTTTGATTTATTGATCGATTTGATAAATTGAAGTATTGGTTTATTGATTTAGAATTTGTTGATTTCGTGATTTTTTTTAATTTTGATTAAAATTTCTGCAAAATGTATTGGTTGACCATTATAAAGCCCCTAATCACACATGCTATGTAACTGATTTATTGATTTATTGATATATTGATATAATTATGATCAAACATGTTATGCCTCAGAACATCCCGGCGGCGCTGACTGGGATTGAACCCAGGCCTACTGAACTGAGAGGCAATCACGTTAACCACTAAACCACCGGTGCCGCTTTTATGATTTAATGATGCTTTAATTTCCCGGCTTTTTGTTTAATTTATGGAATTATTTAGGATTTCATTTTTAATTTCATATTTTGTTGTTGTATTGTATTGTCTGTGGTTCGATGAAGATTTGAAAAAAAGATATTGTTTTCGTTCTTAGTGACCTTCATGGCCTATAAAATGCTCAATTTATTGTTCAAAGTGCTATTTTTATACGTTTCTTGCTCATTTCTTATTTTTTGTGGAGCGTTTTTGAAATTTTCCCTCGGACATTCATTGTGATTTTTGTGTCTTTTTTTTACCTTTATATTGCTCAAACGGCATTTTCTAGTGCTCTTTTGTGACGTATCTATTGCTCAAACAACTGTTTTTAGTGTTTTTTTGATTTTGTTTAATGGTACCTTTTTCAATAAGACCAACATTCGTTAATCTTCTTTATCGACATCGCCTTTGTTAGCCGAGACAAAGTATCATTACTTATCGCTGTCTTGAAAATACCATATGGAAATTTATCTGGGTTATTGGCTCATAAACTTTCAATTTAAAGGAATATTTCCTGAATATCATTGGATTTTTTTTTTAATTTTATATTGTGCAGTGTTCGTTTTTAATTGCTCATTTTTACTTTCCTGCATGAATCAGTTTCTTTTCTTTAAGAACGATTCATATTTTGCAATGGCTCATCCTCATGTTCAAGCATACATTTATCTCCTGGTTTTTGGAACTTTTTCAGTTTTTAAAAGATATTTTCATTTTCTTTTTGTGGAAATAATCACGATTTTACAGCATATTTGGATTTAAACAGCGATAACTGTGCGCTTCGTGTGGGACATTTTAGATTTATTTATCGAGGTTATTCAATATAACATTGCTCATTTTGCCACTTTTATGGGGAAATATGTTCAACTGCAGGTGACGTCGGTGAGTTATTTAGTGCTCAAATTTCCTATTTTAGTGGAGATTCATCCTTATTTAATGGAGCGTACTCTATTTACTTTTGCCCTTTTTGCCATTTTCACCGCTCACATTCAAATTATTAAAAGAAGCCTTTTTCTTCATTTCTATTGCAATTTTTTTTTTGTTATTTGTGCACCCCTGTAGTATTTAGTGGCCAATTTGAGATTTTATATTGCTTGTGCTCTGTTAATTAGGGTACGTATATATTTTGGTCATAGATAATATGAAGTTTTTTTTTAAATGCAGTTGCGCCTAAATGTAGGCACGAACACGATGCCTTCGGTAAAATGTGTAACAGAAAATTGGCAATATTCAAAAATCATTACTCAGCAATTTATCGATATATTTTAAACCTACACACTTTGAAATAACTAATTTTACACGTGGTGGAATCCATCCTTGACATAAAAGATGAGACGTAAACAAACATGTCATGTAATATTAAGTGCTCTGAGACTGAAAAGTTCGTTTCTCGACGAAAAGTACGTTTGATTAAGCTATATTTTGCGTTTGTTATGACTCAAATTTATGTCAAAATTGACGCTCGTATATGTCACTCTCAGAACACCTAAATTTACATGAATTTTTCTAAGTGTGTAGGGATACCAAATAAATCTTTAAATAATATAGTTTTATGTGGTGCCAAGCCAATAGATTTGACATTCGTCAATAAATGGCTGAGCTATGATTTTTCAAACATTGCAAGTTTGCCGTTACACATTTTACCAGGACATCGTGTTCGGAGTGTTAATTTCTAACATTTCAAACATTTTCCCATATTAAAATAAATTGATTTAAAAAATGATACTTTCAAGTTAAGGACAACAATCGTCCCAACCCTATCATTCGTATGTATGAAAACTGATATTGAATGCTATTGAATGTCAATTAAATACAATTGAAAATTATGCAGAAAAATCTACTTTTTTGCAAAGAGAAACTCGTCAAAGCTACCGTTGGTGTATTTTAATGAAATTTTATTAATATATCTATCACCTACCAAACAATTTTTCGCCGGTGATCAGTTTGCCCCGGAAATGTAGATTCAATATCTTTATTTAATTTCCTCTGATTATTTAAAACAAACTTAATTATTTTTTCGTATCAAGGTGGTAGTAGGAGGAATAATACGATCACGCATTTGTAATTCAAACTTCGCAAGTAGATAAGGATACCAGCCCCAGTCTCCTGAATCCTAAATCTGGCAGTGCATTTGTTAACATAGAATGCTTTCAATTAATAACAGTGGAAATGTTTCAAGCAACACTAAGTTGAGAGTAGGTGTAAGCTCGAGTAAGCGCGTCAAAGCCAGGAAGAAGATTATCAGACGTTACATTGCTCTCTAAATAAAAGATGTATTCAATATCGTGGTACGGAGACTTCACTGTAGAAGTGTATTGAAGAACCATTCTTCCTGCAGTTCTTAATAATCGATGAAGGACAAAGTAATTGCACGTTCACAGTTTTCCTCAGCTACACTGGCCGATGACGAGGTCCAAGCGTGGAGAGTCGTTCCCCTTATTGCATTAATGATATGAGAGACTGAACTCGATTTCGTATGCATGCAGCCTGGTCAAACTCTTGCTATATACAAACCATCAGCTGACGACCGACCGAGCAACAAACCGGCACGCCGTGGTGATGTGAAGATGTGGAGAATAGGGGTGCTGAATTGCGTTGCGTTGGTAATGTTGACCGTGGTCAGGAATCGTTTTGCATTGCTTTCTAGTTACCGTGATTGCGTTACACAATACTGCCCTGGATTGGTAATAAAATCTCGAATGTCGATGAGACATTTTTATTGCTGCTGCTGACTGGGTTGATTGGTTGGATGATGCTGACACTCACCTTTGATGCAAACTCAGGACACTGGAACCGATGCTGAAAATGGAACAAGAAAGACAATAAAAGTTGCATTAATTCCTTGTGTCCTTTCGTTTTGCTTTTATGCGGTTGTATTCTCGGGGGATAGTCATGACCCATTTTTGCAGTAGGTGACCGTGAAAGATTTTCTGGATGCTCGATTCCCGCCAGCCTGACTGTCGCCGTTGGCGATCGCTTTTGCAGTGTGGTATGGATTATGGTTGAGTTGGAAAGCACTTCGTAATAGAAGCCAATGTGCTGTCTGTACTCTGTAGATTTTCAAGAGTCATGAGGTAACCTTGTTTGCCCACACGAATGTAGGTTCATCTACAAAGAAATTCCGCGAAAAAAATAGCGTGTCAATAACAAACCGTTATTCATCTCACGTACCGACGATGTTATGGCTTATTTTTATTACATTTGTTGTTTTATCGTCGGTTTGAATATGCAAGATTTCCGACAAAAGATATTGGCTTAGGTACTTGTATCTCACGTGTGGATTCTAAACCGAGATAATCTATTTTTGGTTACAAAAGCTTATATGGAATACATACAATACAAACGACAAATACATCAAATGTAAGTAGTAAGTAACGGTAATGGATTTATTACTCATCTGTATGTGTTTAAATAGTACTATGTATACAAATTGGATAGTACTATCATACTTACAACAAACTATAGTTATTCTATAACTATTTCACCATTAATTTGTACAAAACGTTTTTTGAAATTTCTATACCCATGTTAAATGAGGATACAATCTAAAAAATGAAATTTGCGTAAAAAATTGAGTGTATGTATTGATGTATTAAAGATTCAATATATCTTTCAAAGAAAACTGTAAGACAAAACTACATCCTCTGGTTGCGTATTTCATTGTTATGTCAATACTAACCATCTACCTATTATTTAAAAATTAAGAAATGCTTTAAGAAAAATGTCGATGGCATACTGACTGAGGTTTGTTCTGTGTCTGCATTTACCCATTCAAGCGATCCCATTTGCAACGACCCTACTCCATAAATAATAAACACACAAACAATTCTATTAGGGATATACTACTTACCTCAATGGATCCATTCTGACGCAAAATTTGCGTATCTACAGACTCGTTCAACTCGATTATCGCCTTTATAAAATTTGATTCCCCCCTTACACAAAACGATTTAAAATGGTCACAAGGACTTCCAATTAATCAATATCGATTAGCATAGGCACTTGTTTTGGTAGCACAAACTTCTTCCACCTGAAGTACACTTTCGTTGATTGCTGCAGAAAAAAAAAGATATTCGCGTCAGCAACCACACCTGTTGATTACAAAATAGGTTCACTTCAGGTAAACGTGGTTAGAGTAGAGCTTACTCAGCGACTTATTCTACTATGCTTTCGGTTTCACTGCTGTTTTGCGCTACACTATTTTCTCCGCTCACAATCGCACAATGGATGGAGTGATGAAGATGCCGATATTTGCATTAACTCACAATTCCAATCACAGATGGGAATACTCCCTGTTGCACTTGACTCAACAACCGGCTTTTCTAACCTGCCCGAGCACTCAGCCACCGATCCACGTCGAAGGCAGATTCAAACTTTTCCACAGCTTATTTTGCAATTTTCTCTCTTGATGACTTCCACTTCCGGTACGGGGAGGGTTAGTAACGCGAACGACACTATAGTGCAATTATCAACTACATCATGGTAGAAAAAAGTGCGTAACACAAAGGGCAATCAACTCTCTTCTGTGCTGGTTTGCTTATTAGACTTCTTCTTTTACTGCGCGGGGGTCCAGTAAATTTTATGGGAAGGGGATGGCACGTAAGAACCGAAAAAAACCGCAACACCCGTTACCATTAACTAGCACCGAAAGGAAAATCCGACCATCTCCGTTGAGGTTTCGAACCACACTGAAAGCAGCACGCGACAAACAATGCCCGATAGACGACGCGATGACGATGCTTCTGTACGACGGCGACGATGACGACGACGACGAAGAGTTGGGTCCGATTTTTTTTATTTTCTATAGTAGCTGTTTTAGCAACCATTTAGCATCAACCCGATATCTACCGGGGAACATATTTTCAACAAGTACGTGATGAGCACATCTTTCTTTGGTACAGTGCTGAGAATTGCCATTGGCATTGAAAGCTTTCACGCGATATTGACTGAATTATTTTTGACATTGTCACTGGAAGAATTGACTCCTTCGTCAAAAACAAAAATGTGTAATTTCGTGTGTTATTTTACACATTATTGTTATCCAAGCTGTAACGGACGTATATGCTTGTACACTTTGCCGTCTGCATGGATTTATGTTGCTTAGTTCATTTAATTTCGTTACAAATGTAGACAATAAGAAAAACTGCACATGTTCGTCACTGACTATATTGTCACTGATAATTGACATGATTTCCCTTGATGATGATTGTTAGCTCGAGTGAGTGACGAAAGCTGTTTTGTCAATATCACCGTGTATGGTCATGGTCGATATTTTGCAGCACTGCTATGGTGTACTAGCTTACGCATAAACGCCACAAATGGTCACCATTGATGGAATTTCGTGAATTTTTCCAACATTTGGAATCATTTTCTTATTTTCCAATATTACAGATTCTACTTTTTTAACAGCATAAGTATCCTAATGAATAGAGTATAGTAGCGTTAATCGAAAATGAAGAAACCCCATATGGGATTGAAAAAGTAATCAAAAAGCACACAACAGCCATCCCTTTTTACACAACTTGTATTTACCCAGACAACCAGAAGTCGTATAACAATGTACAGACAGTATCGTAAATTGCTACAGTTTGAGTCAACATCGCATATAAGAATGACATACATCGCATTATGTTTAAGATAAATCGTATAGAATACAAATTTCCGACTTATATAGGGTGAATCATCTTTCTATCGTACTGTATCACAAATTAAATCGGATCACATCGTAAGACTTTTAATATTGAATTTGTTATTACAGATTAAATTGTATATAATGTCAAATCAACTTGTTTAAAAAGGAATTAAATTTTGCACGTATATGGCCTCCACTTTTGTACGTATAAGCCAAATTTTTTGAATTCTATACAATTTGTTTGTTTGTATATATGTTTGTAAATCACAAAAACAACTTTGAATATACGTGCATTCTGGTTGTCTGGCTAGTTAGGCTTGATGGAGCCTCAGTTAGTAAAGGCCCGGTATGATCAAGCCATAGATGGCGGGTCCCAGTCCGATCGAGGAAAGCTGTCGATTTGTACATTTTTTTTTGATTTCCTTGGGCATAGATCATACACAGTTAGAAATAACTAATTTTATGCCTTGTTCAGACTGGAGAGTTATAACAACAATCAATACGAAACTAACCATTTTAAATTGGCTCACTACTTGACTAGCCTATTGGTCCCAAGCAAATCGATTAACGTACCCCATTCTAGTCAAAATTCTAGTACTACACAATGTTTGTTTTGATTATCTATGAAATTTTGACAGGTAAAATGAGGGGTTATTGGATTTTCCTATGTTTCGAGGGGTGAATCGTCTAGCTTGGGACCAAAGATAGTACCAGAGCTGAGCCAAAAAGTTGAGCACGTTTCTTCTGGACCTACTAGTCTTAGAGTTACCTCTATGGTTATAACATGTTATAACGGTTGTCAAATAATTGCAACACAGAAATCACCATCAAGATAGCGCTATAACATGTTATAACTCTGCAGTCTGAACGTACTATTACACGAGACGTAATCCATATTGGACGTAAATCATGGAACGTAAACAAACACTTCATGTAAAATTAAAGGCCCAATCGCAATGACAGCGGAAGCAGAACGGCAGCGGCAGCGGAAAAGCCCGATCTGAGTAAAACGCTGTCCAGACTGGAGAGTTATAACATGTTATAACGGTTGTCAAATAATTGCAACACAGAAACCACCGTCAAGATAGCGCTATAACATGTTATAACTCTGTAGTCTGAACGTACTATAAGCCTACTTGTCGGATTGAAAACTAGTTAGAACCAAATCGACTTCGGTTAGGCATCTTGGTGTCATTTGTGACAACTGTCCAACTTTCCGTTTCCGTTCCGCTTCCGCCGACATTGCGTTTGGGCCTTAAGTGTTCTCAAAACGAAACATAAACAAGTCGACGAAGAGAACGTTTGATTGAATTGATTTTATCGTTTCTTTCAACTGATTATTATGTCAAATAGATTTAGCAGTCACTTCACGGGAAAAAAAGAGTTCCCATATTCGTGAACCACAGCCGTGAACCATAGTTCACGGTGTATATTTGAGAAAATTTTGTTCTGGATAGCTGACCGTGATTTTTAGTTCACGGTCCGTTCCCGTTTTCGGGAACGGATTTTTTTCCGAGTTTGCTGCAACGCGGCATATCCGGATCTAATGTGGGTGGCCTCACGTGGGTGTGGTAGCACAGCAAACAAGGAGTAGCAATTTCAAATTTGTATGTTTTGTGGAAGCTGACATTTGTGCCTTTAAAGTTTCGCGCTAAGGCTTCCTTAGCGTATCACCTTCCAATTCGCGAATCGACAAAAATGTGCAATATTATAGATTATGACATACAGTATCTCCCTGCTAATCCGATAAAAAATGGCTAGAATCGCCGCGAGATTATCAGAAATTTAGTCAATAATCCAATAGTCAAATCGATACTAAAAATTTAATAAAAATAGGCAGCATGCTCATTGCATAAAGCTGAAAACTGATGGGACAATGATTTCAAATGCGTGTTTATGCTTTTTAATCTATTATTTTGCGGACTATGTTCTGATTGTCGATTAGTTATTTTGGCCATAGAATATATAATTAGTAGGATACTGTAGTTAATAAATGTGTTGTGAGTGGTAGTGTTAGTTATAAAATTGAACATACAGGCTGCTTCGATCGTCTTTCCCATACAATGTTCCACAATTTATCTCCCTAGCTCGATGGTCCCTTCAATATCTAATTGGGAAGAGTTGACTGTATTACTTATTGAGTATTTAGGACCATATTAGCACATAACATATGTGGAACTTGACCCTCAATAGTTGAAACTTATACCTGGACATCGATTAATGGAGATTAATTTTCCTAGTCGTAGTAAACAATAATGTTAATCATTCATGTTTATTAGACTAATACAAAATTTGAAATTTTCGCTTCTGATTGGCCTCCGAAAGTTTAAACTCATTTGATAAGAAACTGACTTGGCACAAACCATTTTATGTTTATATGGAAATTACTATGGGAAAACCAAACTTTTTGTTTATTGTGTTCTAGTCTTTTTCCATATTGTACTGTTAACAAGTTCTATTGCTATACTTATGGGAATTTTTTATCAGCTACAACGTTTTTCAGCCAAACGTCAAATTAAATAGTTATTTATTGTTTAAGAGATTGATAATCTTATGGCAAGATTAAGCAACTGTATAGTGGACAACACTGTATTCTGCAGTGTGACATAGTAGCCATAATTTTTGTCCTCCTATTCTACGCGCCATAAACACCAATGGTGCCTGCTGAACAGTTGATTGAGCATAATTATAAGACATCAGTGACTTGAATCATAAATAATTTTTGTCCCTTACATTTGATCGAAAAGTGGTCGATTTTTTTTTTTTTTCTAATTTTAGTGCAAGAAAGTGAAAGTGATCGGTTGGAAATGCATTCCAAAGTGTTATCGTTTATCATAATCGATGATTCTGATTGGAAGCAGGTACAAGAGCTTCTTTGAAGATCCGAAGGAATGTGATGAAATGTTTAGCTAAAATTAAGAGATGCAACAGTTTTTCAAGTATTGGCTTCACGTGCAAACCATCGTTCATTTGGTGAGTTCGTTCCAATTTATTTGTTTACTTGTTTCGATACCATCTATCAGTTTTCTACAATTTTGTCTTGGACATCTTTTCAAAGAGCCACGTTCATGCTGTAATTTGTCGAGCTAACGCATGTCCACAGACCCAATAGAAAGATAGGCAGATTTTCGGAGTTTTGAATTCGTTAGATGTTGTAATGGAGATTTGTGATGTTGGATGCGGGAGGAGATTGAAGGGCGGGTGTTTGACGCATAGAGCCTGTCAATTTCGATTTCAGAGTGCCGCAGTCGGCGGTTTTATGATTCGTGAGCGCTCGCGATTCGTAGAATCGTTGATTGTGACTGCAAGTGGATTTGGCGGGTTTTGTGTGTCGGACGCTTGCTTTTTGGCCTCTTCTTATGTCTAAAATGTGCAGAGTATCATTATAGCGTCTAATGGTTTTGAGATTCCTGGTTGCGTGAAATATATTTGTAAGAATATCTTTTTGAGATTTTAGTAGTCACGTTTTGTTTGTAGTTTATATTTTATTTCTTTCATGTAATCATCGTAAATAATAGTTATTCAATAATAGATAGTTCATCCATATATTCGTACTTTGACGCAAAGCGCTGTGGATTATGAGATGCTCGATGACCCTGAAGGGATCGATATTGCTTACTGAGCAGAAAATCATGGATTTAACCCCAAGCTCTTCCACAGCACAATAAATCGCCACCATCATTTGTATATTTGATATTGAACATTAACCTCGGAAACTATTTGCATATCAAGCGAAAACGTAGCCCTGTATTGTCGCGAAGCGTTATGGTTCTAAGATGTTCGATGACCCTGGAGGGATCGTTTTTGCTTACTTAGCAGAAAATCATGGGTTTAATCCCAAGCTCTCCGCCATGACTCTTAAAATTCATGATCACTAAACAAAATGAATATGTTCTTTCGATAGCCGGCTATCGAGAGATTAAATAAACAACAAATAAACAATACATAATTTTGGTTGCATCGCCAACTTGAGGTGAATCCTAACCGAATACCCTACCCAACCCTCCAACTCCGTAGCACTTATGAGGGTGTCGCTAA